ATTCCCATCACTAATGGATGACTCTCTATGAACCGAGCTCATTCCGATCACCAGACATCTAAGATTTTGGGAGCTTGGAACAAAAAAAAAATTGTAGAACCTTCGTCTTTATTTTAGAAAATTAGAGTAAGTGATGACCAGAAAATAAAATTAATCTGGAAATAAAATTAGAACTTGTATAACCCAAATAAAAATAAATTACATTGATGGATAATTATAAATTGATTGAACCATCAAAAATTAATGAAGAACATCCGATAGCTAGACATAAAAATATTCTTTGCTATAAGACAACATCTGATTGGTTTGGATGTTCCGGCATTTTGTTGCCTTCGTATTGCTGCCATCGCTTGTCTGTTGCCTGTGTATTGTCTTGGTAGTCGGTGTGTAACCCATCTTTGTTGCCCGCCTCCTTTTCACAGTTGCCAGCATGTCCTCAGAATCAGAAAAGAGCTCCAAAACACGTCTCAGGAGTCCAAAACTTTAATAAATCAACATTTTCCACCATAACAGTTAACAACCAACTTCTTTTGAGGCCAAAAACACATCCCTTCATCACGGCTTTATCAACAGTCCCAAAGAACCTGCATTCTAGGCCCCTGGGGGCCTTGAAGATGATATCTTAAGAGTCAGCCAAGTGAGGTCAACTCTGGACTCAAGGCAGCAGAAGACTCAACAGACTTCACCTGGAACGGAAATGTCACAGCTGCCGGAATGTTCCTCTTTAAAAACTCATTTTCTGAATCATGAAGCTGTTCCATGGATTGAACGGTCCCAACTGTTAGAGGTCACCATACATCTGTTAACAGGTCAGGAGGTATGTGTGCACTGATGTCAAATCAGATTTCTTTAAAGCATAAAACGTTTCCCGCTCTCAGGACTGTATAAATGGCTTCTTCCCAGATGTCCCTCAAGGTTTTAGTTTTTTTCCAAGTGAAACATTTCCCACAGTGTGAGAATGAAAACCGGTGTTAGCCCGTGTGAACTCTCTGGTGTTTAAGCAGGTCTCCTTTCTGAATGAAACATTTCTCACATTGTAAACATGAGAAGGGGCGCTCACCCGTGTGAATTTTGTGGTGTCTAAGAAGGTTTGATTTCTGAATGAAACTTTTCCCACAATCTGGACACGGGTAAGGACGCTCACCCGTGTGAATTCTCTGGTGTTTAAGAAGGTCTCCTTTCTGAATGAAACCTTTCCCACAATCTGAACATGGATAAGGACGCTCAACTATATGAATTCTCCGGTGTCTACGTAAGTCTTGTTTTGTAGAGTAACAGTTACCGCACACTGGACAGGAAAAAGGATGCTCATTCTGATGAACGCTCTGGTGTTTAATAAACTGGTGTTTCCTCAAAAAACATTTCCCACACTCTGGGCATGAATAAGGTCCATCACCGGTGTGAAGTTTCAGGTGTGAAACCAATTTTTTTTTCTCAGTGAAACATTTCCCACATTCTGAACATGAAAAAGGACGCTCCCCTGTGTGAGTTCTCTGGTGTTTAACAAGGGCTCCTCTATCAACAAAACTTTTCCCACATTCTGTACATAAATAAGGACGCTCCCCTGTGTGAATTCTTTGGTGTCTGACGAGTACATTTTTCTCATTGAAACATTTTCCACACTCCGAGCATGAATAAGGACGCTCACCCGTGTGAATTCGCTGGTGTGTAACAAGATTTCCTTTGTGAGTAAAGCCTTTCCCACACTCCAAACATAAAAAAGGACGTTCACCTGTGTGACTTCTCTGGTGTCTAAGAAAGTCTCGTGTTTTCTTGAAACACTTCCCGCATTCTGAACATGAAAAAGGACCTGGGCGAGATCTCTGCTGTTTAGATGGTGCTCTGCTTTTAGTGTGAGATTTCTCTAAAGATAATAATGAACTCTCTTCCGTGTGACCTTCAGCAGGTAAAGAAGGCTCCTTGCATTTAGATGGTTCTTTTGATCTCTCCGCACTGTGAGATCTCAGATGGGGTTCTGAAGTCATAGTCTGTGATTGGTCAGAATATTCCTCAGGATTAGAGGGATCCAATGATGTCTCTGAAAGGGAAGGTCTGTGTTGAATATTACGAGTAATGGGATTCTCTCCTGGAGAATGTTTTGTGATGTCATCATCTTCTGTCTTCACATCTGGAGATAAAGTTGGATCTCCCTCCGAGGAATTCCGAACAAAACGTCGATCTGTAAGAAAGTACAAAATGCTTAATATTTGCAAGCCTTGTATTCAGGAGTCATAGATGTTGGTGGAGCGAAAAGAAGTTCCTCAGCTCTGCCCTGGAATTGTGTGCGACCATCACACTGACCTATGACCCCAATCCAGATACAGCATCCACCCCACCCAAACCTCACCGAGGACCAGAACTTCTACATTGATGTCATTGTAACTGTGAGAATGGAGATGGACCTTCCTCCACCTCAATTCTAGAAGACCTACTGAAGACCAGAGATGGATCTTCATATGGTGTACAGTATCTCCTCATTTGTTGGTCACATGACGTTATATTGAGGAATGGAGATGGACCTTCATATGGTGTACAGTATCTCCTCCTCATTTGTTGGTCACATGACGTTATATTGAGGAATGGAGATGGACCTTCATATGGTGTACAGTATCT